AGTTTAAAAAGAAATGAAAGTTTTGAATATTACATACTACTTCAACCAGATAGAGTAAGTACTGTCTGGCTAATATTTCACTTCCAAGCGAAAATACATGGGCTGAAAGATCTTCTTATCCACTTGTTCAGTCAATCCTAAAATGTTTACTCATTGGTAAATTCTACTGAAAACAACTTACATACAGAAAATATTTGGTCAACTAGTACAGTAATTTATGGGCTTTACGCTCAGCAAATGTGTTTGCGGAAGTGAATCGAAAAACAAATTTCCGCGATGTGATTGATCGGAACATTTCTGGGCAAAAACTGAATAGTATCGACGTTATAAATTTCTGAATGTCGTAAGTTGTTCTGACTCGTACGCTGATCCACTCTAAAAGCTTAAAATTTGAGGTGGGTACCCTTTTCTCGCAGATGGAGGTTCCTTTGTCTCTTGACACAATATCTTAACTACAACTCATTCTCTCTATTACATTATTTCATGGTAGCTTCATTCCTCTCTTTCACAGCTATACCCAAACCAGTGTCAGCTCCAGATCTTATAGTATATTTCTTCATCATTTCTACATATTTATTTTAATGATATTCCAAATGTTTCTGTTAGTATTACTAATTGTGATATAGCTACTGTATATTAAATATTTACAATTATATAACACCTTTATTAAATTCTGGTCATTTCATTGTCTGATTATGATCACGTGATATGGAATTAAAATTCTCATTCTGTTATCGTGCAATAATAGCTACAAAAACTATACAGCATGCAGCTCTTCCGATCTGTGCAATATTTTTTGTGTTATTCAATGGTGGGGTTTAATTAAATCCAATCATTCAAAATCCTATTTCATACTGAGTCCATAAAATTAAATTCAAATACATAACTCGACAAAAGCAAAATGTCGGGTGTAAAAATACACTATTTTAACGCTAACTTTTATGATAGTTTTTGCGGCTACAACAACTAAGGCTATTATCATAATATTTCTTCACTAAAACTTTCGTTGGCACTTTTCGATCAAAATTTAATTATTTTTTAGCAAAGAATGTATTTGTTTCGTATTTAATTCACTTAAAAATTTAATAAAATTGATCCATTTTCAGTACTGTGGTGTCATATAAAACAAATAACCAATGTTTCCTTTCGTACAATTGTATGATTTTCATTCAGTAAAAGATGGAATTTTTCTTTCCATGTGCTTAAAAGTGTGAACCATTTTTTTTTCCGTTTTGTATAAAAAAAAGCAATGATCGTGTTGCCATGGATAATGCGAGTAACCAGAGCCTGTTTCGGTGTAGGCGTAATTAAGAATATTTCATGCATATGTTGAAACATTGTTTAGAAAATGTGGCCGAAGGGTTGTTGCATACATGTATTTCTAGTTATTTGTATACTATTTCTCCATTTGCATCAAGGGGTACGTGGACATTGATTATCATCCTTTAAGAGAAATAATGACTTGTTTATTTTCCTGCAGAAACCTAAAGATGCTGTTTCATCAAGCACTCCGACACCGAAAGCACAAACCTCATCAACAGGTAAGCTTTAGTAAAAATATGCTTATACTACAAAAACAACACGGTAGGTTCTAGGAGCAGAGAATATTCCTACAACTCAGATCACAATGATCGAACATAACTTGGATTACATGCTTCTTGGAAATAATGCTAGCAAGTCAAGTCATTTTCTTCTGACAAATGAAATGTGTTTTTCTTTCCAGCAAAACCTACTGAGAAAGTAACAACAGAAAATGTTCCCACAACCCAGTCAACAAGTAAGGTCATAATAAACGAAAGTATTTGCTTTATATGTATATAATTCTTTCAATGATAAGTAGCCTGCGAACGGGCTCTCAGAGAAAGTAGAGCCTGCACGAAAACCCATGCTTTGGCGTATTTACTCTTTCTCTCAGAGGACGAGAAATCTGATTGGTTCAAAATGAACAAATGTGCTAATTTATGCTAAATTCATACAAACACGGCGGATTAGCGGATGTATTATTGAGAAGCGTTTCTTTGAGTTTTACATTCAAAAGAGCTTAATATTAAAGGCCACGATTTACGGTTGAACATTAAAGGTATTTACGAACTTGGTTCACGAAGCTCTAGAGATATTGACTGTGGTGTCTTCGTTGGATTGCTGTCTGTTACCAGCGCCTCTTTCACAACTCACGAGCGTGTTCGTTTTCATAAAATTCATCGACGACAAATAGATTTTTTCTTCATGATTTTGTAGCTAATAATTTTGTTCCAGGAGCGAATTGCTATAAATGCTTATGTCTTATGAATAGGACTTGCTCTCTCTGAAGTGATGGCTTTAGACAACTTTAATATTCTCTTCTCAGCATCGCTAGAAACTTTAACATTTCATACATCACGGTTGACCGCTGTCGAAACTATAAATTATATTTGTACGTGTGCGAGAAAGCTACGAAATATCGTAGATACGGACTGCAAACTACTTGTGACAACGATAGAGATTGCCCTATGCCTAGCGCTATTCCCACAGACTTCAATTTTCTTTAGCCGCCATCCTTATATTACAGTATTTCGTTTTGACATCTGTTTAAAGTGGGCGTAGCTCGCAGGCTAAGTGGGCGGAAATGGCAAAGCATGGGTTTTCGTGCAGGCTTTACTTTCTCTGAGAGCCGCTACGCAGGCTATGACAAGATTCGGAAGTATCAACGATTTTGATGAAATAATAGAAAAATGGTCAATGAACTTTGTTAATCCAAGATGATAACAATTATAGTTCCTCGTCACATCCAGAGGTAAGACTACACGATAAAATAATTTGCTCCTAGATCCCAGCTCATGCAAGGGAATAAAAGATATTGGTTTGGATTCGCATGATGGAGAGTATAATATTTACCTGATGTTGCCAGAATGCAATCAATCTGCAAGGATCTATTGTGCCGACATGCATACTACAAATCCCAAAGAATATGTCACATTGCCAACCGGAGGGAACAATAATTTTGCTCTTCATTACAACCAAACGGAGGGATACCGAAATGAAGAACAGTGGACACGCTTCGAAAAGGTTGTTTTCATCGTTTAACTCTTGATCTTTCGTAGAACGCCAATTCGCTGCGACAGCTTGTTGCAAAGAGAGTCGACGTGCTCGTCAAATGTCAATCTCATACATATCTAACTTTAGTCCCAGCAAACTGAAAACATCAACTTGTTCAATAGTAGTGTTTGTTTAATTCAATTTGCAAATCCAAACTTTCCAGCTTTTCGTACAGGAAAACGGCTAGATAAAAAACTGGACAGTTTGGATTTGCAAATTGAATTAAACAACACTACTATTGAACAAGCTGATGTTTTCAGTTTGCTGGGACTAAAGATAGATATGAGATTGACATTTGACGAACACGTCGACTCTCTTTGCAACAAGCTGTCGCAGCGAATTGGCGTCCTACGAAAGATCAAGGTTTTTCTTCCTCTCGAGCAGAGAATTCTCTACTACAACTTAGACAGGGTTTTGCGACTGCAAAAGCGAGCTGCTAAGGTCATATTAGATGCTGTCATGCGAGCGAACAGTGCCGAACTCTTCAAAAAACTAAATTGGTTGCCTTTCTTCTGTGAAGTCAAAATGTAGATGTGTGTTTTGGTTCACAAACGTCTTTATGGCGAATGCCCAGCTTATATTAAAGAAACGTTGAGGGTATACTCAGATATCCATAACCGATCAAGTCGTTATGGCTCAATAAACATAGTTTTCCCACGTTTCAATAGAGAAACTGAAGGTGGACGGACATTCTCAGTCAGAATGTCAAGATTATGGAACAGCCTGCCAAATGAACTGAAGTCTATTAATAGTATAAACATTTTTAGATCATCTTTGAGAACTTTTTATACTGACATTCTAAAGTAACCATCTTAAAGTACTTTAAACTTTTTACTAGACCATTAGTTATTAAATTCCTGCTATATATATATATATATATATATATATATATATATATATATATATATATATATATATATATATATATATATATATATATATATATATATATGTATGTATATATTTTCATGCTATAGGCCTACACAGCCATTTATTCTATTAACATATTTTTGTACTTATATAGTTAGGAGGGCCGCTGGTTTATCAGTTTCACTGTCATGCGTCTACCCTCATTAATAAAGTTGATTGATAAAGTTGATTGATTCCAAATTTCTGGGTGTAGCTACAAAACCAAAATTGCGGAATCATTGCAGATCGGTGCATGATTGTATATCATAACACAATTTTTGAGTTAGGGAACCATCATGCACCATCATGCTCGCGAGTATATAGGCAATAATTGTGTTGAAACATGCACCTATAATATTATTGGGTGCAAATATCAACAAAAATAATGATGTTACAAAACCTCTGGCGATTTTTGAGTACTTTATTCCATGCCAGGCGTTATTGTAGCAACAGTCAGACATCTAGAGTGAGTAGGTTTCTTCCAGTTGTGCCCGAAAGCACCAGGGACTAAACAAACTCTCTTGGTGTCCCATGCTTCCACTCCCTTCAAATATTGATAATTTTTATCTAGAATCTTTGAAATGTTATATTCTTCGGTCTGGGGGACGTTTTACCATAGAGAAAGCAGGTCATTTCAGAATTTCGCATTATTTCAGGTAGCGAGGTATCCGAACTTCCATATATAATTAAGTTTTCCAAATACAGCCCCCCTCCCTTAATTAATTGTGCTCCATTGGGGATATTGCCCTTTTGTTGGGTAGTATCCTAAAATGTGCTCAGCAAAACGTGGATGATTTTTAGCTTCGTAAGGAAATACTAAATGAGTTACACGGAAGGGTCTATACAAATGGTCCAATTGTATTATTATATATATACTTTTCGTGTATTTAGTTTTATTGTTGATTTGAAAGGGACTTTACCTGGGTGGGCAAACGTCAGTTTGTGAGTGGGAGGGGGGGAAAGAGGACCTGGGGGCATAGCAACTTATCCACCGGATAGCAATTTATTCATCTTTCGTACAATCGGCCCCTGATGTGTAACTTCATAGGACTTCGTGATCTCAAATTCCCATGATGTGCACGTCATGCTCGCGCCATGACACTTGCTGGCAAAATGGCGTCCTGAAAAACACGAACTTTTCCACTTTATTGCAACTTTTTAATTTTGGATCGAAATTTTCGGATTACACAATCAATGTTGAATGTTTAAAGCTGTTGAAAGCAATTGACCTTTTTGGAATGGTGTTGAAAGTATTGCTGAAAGCAAGACGTATTACCAAATGACGAATTATCACGCTATGGGATGATGGCAACCGTGAGACAACTTTTTTAATGAAGTTACACATCTGTACATATTTAATCTATGACGCAGCTTATATGCTACATATATGCCCTGGAAAACTTCCGCCAAACGCTGAATTACCCAATTATTAAACTTTTGTTATATTTAACTCGGCTCTTTTTTTACTTTTAGGTTCGTCTCAATGTCAATGACATGTCATTAGATATAAGTGACTTCAGGTTTTCTACAGCAAACACGCCAAATGTGTTTCATCGCTTTGCAACTGCTGGCGACTGTATTTCACCTGATTGTCCTGAAGAATACAGAAAAGGAAATTTCAAAGTTGATATGAATGGTACAAACTTTCTCTTACTGAACAGCATTCCTTACTCATTTCATACATTTCCGCCATGTGCTCAACGTGTATTCAAGGGATCGATGAGCTCTGATCGTAGACAATGGTCAGGATACTGCGGGGGACATTGCGGAAACTGCTGGCCTGAAGTATTTCGTCTTCTAGTTGAAGGATGTTAAAGTACTTTAATTAAGGAACAAAGAAGTTTTAAACATTTGAATAACTTTTATGCAGATTCTTCATATTACAAAGATTGCTTCAGAAGTACACATAAATAGTACAAAGCTATAAAGTTAAAGCAGCAGTCAAGCCCGTTTTGCGCATTTATATATATATAGGCATGGGTGCATGTGGTTTGGTAACCTATTTCGGTGTGAAATACATTGGAATAATCTTAAATCCAGACAAACACTTGCTGTATTTAAATTTAACAAATAGTTATATATCTACTAGAAAGAAACCAAGTCTATTTCAAACGAGTACAGGACGAAATATGTATTTCGTATCTTTAAGCGTGATAGCAGCTAGAAATAGCGGACAAAAGTAAACCATTTGGTCTTTGCTCTTAAAGCATATCTCCAATTACTTCGCTAAACCGCCGAGATTGTTCGATATTTGGACAACTTTTTGTACCAAAAAAGATACTTGAAATTAGTTTTTGTTCAGCAGCCCAATTTTATCCTTTTTGAACGCGTACTAACCTAATGCATTGGGATGTTTTTCAAAATTCTTGCCATTAGAAATAGTATGACAATTTTCAAAATAATTGATGAAAACTTTCATACTAATTGCAATTTCCATACTATGGATATAATATGGAAATAACATGGATATACTATAGATTTAGTGGCGCAATTGCAATTTTATATTATGGATGTCAGAATTTTTTGCCAGTGATGTGTGGGCCCACAGATCGCAATTTTAATCTACTGTTTGAAACAAAATATATAAACGAAGCACGCGCGTGAGTAGAACGAACTTGATCGACCATTTTAAACATTTTGATGGTCATCATAGGCTATACACAGTAAAAACAAATTGGTTAAAATGACCAATTTAAATTGGTTCCAACCAATTTGAATTGGTCATTTTAACCAATTGAAGAATTGGTTAGTCTGACATGACCAATTAAATATTGGTCATTTCGAGCAATACATAATTGGTTGAATTTTTAACCAATTTAAGGAGGCTCCCTACAGTTGCGTGCGTGATCTTCGCGGGACCAGTACGTGAACTATCCCACGCAACCGCATGATCAAAACAAAACAACATTTTCTTTTTAAAAAAAAGCTATTTCTGAAAGGTTTCTAATGGGAAAAGCGTTGAATAATACTTCGTTTTGAGTGCCAAATTACTTGCGAGCCTATACAGCAATTCTACATATGATACGAATACCACTAGACCAAAAAATAGCTACGAAAAATGTGTTTTAATGTTTTTAAAATATACATTGTCAACTGTAAAACATTTGCAAAATTGCATACAAACGTTTAAAAAGTTGTTTATTTCTCAAGAAAACGTTCACGTTTTTAGTCGTGTTTCTACAAGATTAAAGTGATTATATGTAAACAGAAAAATATTTCGGTTTCATAGCCTAATTGTTCATTTTTAGCAAAAAGTACAAAACCAAACATGAAACAAAAAAAAACACGTCCACCTGTTAGTAGGCTGTTACAGCTCATAGATTGAGTAAACGGCAGGATTCAATTAGCTTCAACCTTGTTTTCATCGATTTAATCCTTCACAATAATCCTTGGCTGTCCATAGCACTCAAATAAATCGAAAAGTTGACAAAAACAAAACAGTGAAAACAACATTGCGGCTGGATTTTGCTGAATGAAAACTCGTTCTGCGCCCGCGTACAATCTTTTACTAGTCAGCGACGCTTTTCAATAGGGGAATTTCTCGAGTTACACGAGGCTATTTTCTAACTTTATTTGCATTTTACTCGTTAGTTTCATCGGTGACCTATCTTCAAATTTTTACCACGAATTTATTTTGCGGTAAATTTTATAAATTTTAAAAAAATCTGTAGTGTGGAAATTTCGCAATAAATTTTTCGCTTTTAAAAAAATCACACACTACAGAATTTTTTTAAACTTTCACCACAGTTGCAGAGCATCATTCCTTATTGATATATGAAATAAAAAAGATAGGTCACCGTAATCGTTTTTGAGATAGCGGCACATTTATGGGTTAAATTGGAAGGCTTTATGCTGTCGTCATGTTGCTATGGGAACATTGACATCGTCGAAATCTAGTTCGAAATATTCCTTAGGTGACCAATATTGCCACCAAGTCGAAAAGAATTCGCGTTTTGCACGAATAAGCCTGTTTTACGGAATTATTGCTTAAACAAGAATAACTGTAGGGAGCCACCTTAAAATGGTAAATTTAACCAATTTCTTTTGATTAGTCAATGTCGAATTACCCAAAATAACCAATAAAAATTAGTCATATCCCCAACCAATATATATATAACCACAGTGGCTAAACTTTGATATTGATTCTATTTCAATTGTATTTATTTATCTGGTCAAAATTTTGCGGTTTGAGTTAATTTTAAATTCTTCATGAGTTCATGAAACTATATTTACATAAAATATTTATAGTGTTTGTGGTTTGTAGAGCTAGGTATCTTCGTGTAACTTCGTATGACATGCAAACGAAAATTCTCACGATCGACGAGCGCGGTTTCACATGGACAGGCTGGTGCCTAGTTTTCTTACAACACGCGCAAAGCCTCCCAGGATAGCGTCATCACACTGACGCCGCCATATTTATATTTTGGAAATTTTTATTTTTCATTTTTGTCGCCTATAAAAATGAGTATTTGAAGGCAAGACGATGCCTTTTAACGAAGATGAAACATCAGGGATGACTGAGTAGCATCCAGGTAAGAATATTGTTATGTTTTCTATATAATAGAGCAATTTCGAAACGAAATATTTGCAATCTTCCTTCGTGAATTTTGAGGCATGTGTTCCGGCTTAAAATTTGCCGCGACAATATTTGAATTAAAATGATAATATAAATACATTAGTTTTATACAACGGCTTGCATTTGACTCAGCCCTTATATCAAATAATATGACAGATAATTTGTAACAATAATATAGAATTGAATAATATAGCTAGTTTATAATTGGCATCATTCTATTCAATCCTCATATCATATGCCCACTTAGGCATGTCCCAGCTAAACATGGTTTGAGAGAATTTATTGACTTTAATAATATCAATTGCTACTTTCATAAGTTTCAAATATTTATTCATGTATATAAGTGGGTCGCTTTAGATAAAAATGTCAATTTGATGTGTTATATAGCAACTTGATTTATGGACAGTTAAAGTCCTTAGTTTGCTTGTTCAAACTTTAAAAATGCATGAATAATAATACTCCAGTAAGCCTAATTTTCAGCACTTTGTTAAAATTAAATGTTATCTTACCTAATGCCGGACAATTTATTTGTCAAGGGAACTGTCTAGCTAGACTCTGCCCATGTTTCATGTTGACATTTTTAGATGTAATTTTCCCTAACACTCCCTTCTTTAATTACTGCGATATTTAACTCTGATGTCTCATGCTAGACAATTTGACTTATCGACAGTGGACTGCTTGCCCATAATTCACCTATTAACACATAAGAAGCAATTTCCTCTTCTAATTCACCAGTCAATGGTTCTCCCCAGGGGGAGGGGTGTATCCGGCTTACCTACAGGGTTTGACATTTTGCTAAAATTTTTTGTCAATTTCCCCAATATGGGGCGACCTGACGAAGTCAAACTCCCGTCCCTGGGTAAATAATTTATAGAAACTGAAAGAATTTTTTTAATAATAGTCAAATACACAAAAAACTATATCGAACGAACAACAGTATAAAATTAGTCATATATTTATATTTAAACTGTTTTAACCCTGGTTTTATATCGTAGAAGAAAATGTTCTTTATTTATATTCTTCTTGTTCTTTAATATAAAAACAAACTAATATATTTAATCACCTTTTTAAAACACATTTCTATCACCAAAAAGTGAAAAAGTATGTAGAAAAATCTCGAGGAAAATCATGTAGAAAAGAAAAATTCCGTGCTGTCTCCCACCAAACTGCCGCGCACCACACATTTTTAGACTTGTTCCCAGACCTCGTGATGAAAAATGCGAGATTAAATTTCTCAAATTCCCGACCCTCAGGCTCATGTTATTGTCAAATTCCTCACCCAGGGGAAGCATATAGCTGTCAAATCCTGTGGGTACGCCGGATACCCCACCTCCCTGGGGCAAACCACTGACTGGTGCATAAATGTTACCTACTTTAAGTTCTTTGAAGGGGTATAGAGGATAGAGTCTTCTTGCTATCCTGCTAGATACAGGATAAGTTGGATAGTTTTTGCTATCCAGCTGGATATGTACAGGATATGTACAGGATATGTTGGATAGTTGAAAAATATCCAGCCAGATTCATGGTAATATTATCCAAATATATATGGTTCAGCCCTCATAAATTTAATTAAGGTTAACCCTTTAAATGCCTATGTGCCCAGCATGCCGGATGCTCCCCACTTTATTATTTTACTTGTCAGGGGGAGTGTGCTGCCACTCAATGGGTTAACCAGACTATCTGCCCATGCACCCTATTAATTAACCCTTTAAGTGGCAATATGCCCCGCTTTAGTATTTTACTGTCTAATTCGATGCCAGACAATTTCACTTGTCAGGGGGAGAGTGCTGCGGTGCTGCCACTCAATGGGTTAAATGCTGCACCTCCCCTAAATTTTTTTCCACTTCCCCCACTATTTGCACCAAAATCCATCCTTGGTATAATGGCAGTTGTTTTGGTATTCTTGATATGCAAGCACTTATCTTTTCCCGTTTTACCTACAATCAACAGGATGATGATGTTACAAAGAAGATCGAGAAATATGCATCTCCAAGACTTATAAATCCACTGGGACCCTCGAAATGCACTCCCTGCATGATGTTTGTTGCTGAAGGAATGGGTGTAACCAAACTGAAAACTGTAAATATCTTAAATGCTGTAATTTGTTTGCATATTATGTGTATAATGCTGAAGGTGTAACTTGACACAGTAAGAATGTGTTTTTATTTTTGGAACATATTCTTATTCCCTGCAGTGGAAAGAAGAGACTTGTGTTGCTAATGCCAGTTGAACACTTAATTTCTTCCATGAAATAGAACATTGCAAGCATGCATGTACAAGGGTATCGCATACAGCTGATTCCGTTTGACCGACCTATATATTTTTATAAAATATATTTTCACACAACAGAGCATTATATGCGCATCAAATTAGGATTTCCATCAATGTTGGGACTTGGGATTGATTATATTATCTTAGCCAAGTGAACATTATTTTGTGTGACCTCCTTTTGATTTTAGGATTATTATAGCTTTAACTCAACTCTTCCTGGTATAGTTCAACAAGTGTTCTAAGTACTGCTGGCTTAAGGTTATTCCAGCATTGATTAAGGGCATGCTATAGGTTGTATTTATCTGTGGGATCATGTTTCACTTTCTTTCATTTCAAATGATCCCATAAATTCTCAATATGATTTAGGTCCCGAGATTGAAGAGGAAAATCTGTAACAATCAGATCGCATTTCTCTTGCTTCCTTCTTAAATAATTTTTACACATGTGAGAAGTGTGTTTCGGATCATTATTCCGTTGCAAGACAAATCCCCTTCCACACAACCTTAAGCTAGATGGTATAGTGTAATCTGGTTGTTCTGGATTTCCGCCTCAACCTCCAGCCAGACCTAAATCCTATTGAGAATTTATGGGAACATTTGAAACGAGAGAAAGTGAAACATAATCCCACAAGTAAAAACAACCAACCAATAGTATGTTGTTAATCAATAATGCCAGAATAACCTTAAACCATCAATACTAAGAAAAAACATAAATACTAAGAAAAAACCATCAAAATTTGTTGAATCTACATGTATGCCAGGAAGAGTTTAAGCTGTTTTAAAATCAAAAGGAGGTCACACAAAATATTAAAACAATGTTCACTTGGCTAATATAGTATAATCAATTCCAACGGTACCGGTAATGTAAATCCTTATTGGTTGCACATATAGTGGTGTGTTTTGTAAAAATGTATTGTATATCAATAAAAGGCAAGATCATATTGAGTGGACTCAGAGTTTTGACCCCCCACTGTATAGCGATGAACTATTTGTGATGTGCAAGCCAGGAGAATCAAATGCGAAGCCTTTATCGTTATATTTTTCTCCTTCTCTAACAATTCTTTTATTTGAAAATTAAAGTAAGACGACGACAAATCCACTTCCATATCATCCTCCAAAATTATCAATCGCAAAGATCAACCCATCTTCTCCAAGTAAAACAACATGATCTACACTGTTAATTCAAAAGAGTCATTTTGACTCCTTCAAAGGAGTCGTTTTCTTGACCCCAGGACGACCCCTTCAAGAGAGTTATTTTGACTCCTTTTGGGTTGACACCTGTAAAGAGTCATTTTAACCCTTTTAATAGAGTCATTTTGACTACCCATGGAGTCGTTTCAAAATGACTCTTGGAAGAGTTAGAATGCAAATTAACTCCTCAGACGTGTCGTTTTACTTTGATTTGGAGTCATTTCGACTCCTCTTTGGCATCGATTTTACTCTTCTTTGGGGGGCATTACGACTCTTCTATGGCATCAATTTTACTCTTATTTGGAGTCATTTCGATCCCTCTTTAGCATCGATTTTACTCTTATTTGGAGTCATTTCGACCCCTCTTTAGCATCGATTTACTCTTATTTGGGGTCATTTCGACTCCTCTT